CCCTGGCGATTTTGCCAGTTGCTGGTTATAGTTCTGAAGTGCTCGAACAGGGGCTGGACCTGCTTCCTCAGGTAGTTCTGTGGAAGAAACGTGAGTGTGCAAGGACTCACACTGAGCTGCTGCGAGGAGCCCACAGGCCTTGCCTGAGCAACATCTCCCCTGAAGCCCAAGTTCTGGCCAGGCAGAGACTGGGTGGCTCACAGGGCTTGGAGAGGCAGCCCAGGCACACAGCCGGAGAGAGACCGATCTTCCACTCCAGCTGTCCTTTGCACCAGGCTTTTTGTGCCTCCAAAAATATTCACTTGCAGGATCTCAAAGCCACCAACTTGGCGTGCCTTCTGCCTCCACCTCTGCAACCTCTGCAACCTCTGACTTTCTCACCCCTCCACCAAGCCCGATCCCGGGCAACCGACCTTCTCCTGAGTGATCACAGGCACCGGTACTCACAGGACCATGAACCCGGGCATGCTGCTCCATACCTTCATGGGGCCGTAGACCTCGGAGCGGTCGAACATGAGCTTGAAGTAGTTGAGGCTGCTGAGAGCGGCCTCCCAGGGCATGTACTCCGTCTCTCGAATCAGGAAGAGGGTGTTATTCAGGGCCAGGGTCACAGGGATTCTCTTGGCACTGGGAAAATACCAGAGAGGCTCAAGTATGCAGTGCCCCAATGCCCACGTCCTCAAGGACACACTTCAACCCTTGGTCCCTAGGCTTTCGGGGGCCTGAGATCACAGAACCCAACACAGCAAGCAACACTGGCCATGAAGTGGCAGTGGCCAGTCACAGGCTCCTTCTCATGTTATCCATTTCACAGATTAGGAAACTGAGGCTCTGAGGTGGATCAAACATCCCAAAGCCACTCATCTGGTAAGAAATGAAGCCCAGGGTTCAAACCTAAAAAAAGGCCCTCCTGTCCACTCTGCCTACTTCTTCCGGTTTGCTTGGCCTTCAGGCCTGCATTTCTCCACTTCCTTAGTCCTTGAGACACATTTGGCCTAGAAATGTCCCTACCTACATGTGACTCTGCTCATGACAAGGAGCTTAGCATGTGTCCCTGAACACAGGAGGTGCTCACCAAGTGCTTACCCAGGCCTCTCCCTCCGCCCCCATCCTGCCCATCCCAGGTTGTTTAAGCACCCAGCACAGGGGCCTCAGGACAATCTTTGTGCCTTTGGGTGAGTCAGGTTTGCTGCCTGGCAATGGCCTCAGGCAGGTGCTCAGATAGTCATCTGTGAAATGGAGAGTGGGGGCTGGGGAGGAGCTCAGCTTGCGCAGGGCACCTGATGCCGGGTTGGGGAGCTCACCTGGCCATGTTGAAGCCATCATGGATGATCTGTGCCCGGTTAATGACAGGGATGACCTGTGCGAAGAGGGGAAAGCAGAGCGTGTGACCTCGGGCCAGCCTCGGGCAGGAGCAGCCTTGTGGTCTAGCGTCGTGTCCTGGGGCAGGGGCCACCCACCGATGGGTCATTTTGCAGCTGAGCCTGAAGCCTCCTCCAGTTGCCTTCGTCGTAGTTCACCTGGTAATACCCCGTCACATTGATGTTCGCAAGCACCCACTGATCACCTTGTGTGCTGAACAGCGGGTTCTGGGCTGTGGGAGGGACCAGCGTTGGAATAAGGGGTTATTCAGAAAGCCGCAGCCTCCTCTCCGGGCTGCATTAGCCTGGCTCACCTCCCCCAGGAAGCCTTCCCTGACTTCTCCATGAGATGGAATCTCTTTGGCTCCCAGCTCCTGCCCTGCTAGCCCAGTCACACATGCTCAGGGCAGCACCCAGCCCGGCCCTGTGATGCCATCCACCACTTGTCTCCCTCCCCCTCCTGCCAGCCAACTGGCCTTGACCTTCACTTCCTCAGTGCCTGGGACAGTATTCTAGGCAGGGTTTAAGCATTTTCTGCAGATTCTCCCCCTCCTTCCCCAGTGGAGTAGCTACTGTTCTCAGCTTCATTCCACATAGAGAGGGATAGCAGTTTGCTCAGGGTCACACAGCTGGGCAGCCACAAAGCAGGTTTGGACCAAAGAGGCTGGCTCCATCAGGGGGCCCTCATTGCAAGCACAAGCTGGGGGTTGTGCGTGGGGGGCTGAGTGTCTCCTAAGGGGTTCGGGGAGCAGGGCTGGGTTACCTTGAGCATTCTGTAGCCAGTATCCCTCCTGCTGCTGGCCATTTTTTATGGACGACACAGGCACGATCCACAGGTAGCTGTAAGCAGAGAGCCGGGCACCAGGCAGTGAGGGACAGCAACTCCTCCCAGGCCCTCCCACCTCTGACACCCAGCTGGACCCCCACCCTCAGGATTCCCCACTCTCCCTAGGGACTGTGAACTCACTTGAACTCGGATGGGCGAGTGACGTTGGACTCAGGGTCCAGGAGGAAGTGCTCCTGGGAGATGGTCCCTGTGGCAGTGTTGATGGTGACCACGGGGAAGCCCATCTGCAGGATCCAGCGGTCCATGATGTCACTCACGTTGGCAGGCAGCTGGATCTCATTCTGATTGTCAACGGCCTATGGCGGAGCAAGAGTGCACAGTTGTCCCAGGGGTCCTATGCTCCAGCCTCCACTTGCCCAGGGCACCCCTGCAGATCTTAGCAAGAGACAGGGGGTCCTAGGACAGAGGCCAGAGACAACAGCTCTGCTGCTCGCTGGCTGGGCCAGAGAACCTAGGGACTACGGAGCCCATTCTACTCCCTGTGGAGTACATATGCTAGGGACCAGGATGCCTGCCCCTTCACATGAGCAACACCTGGGATGCTGAGAAGGGAGAGGAGACAGAGAAGGGAGCCCACGAGGGCAGGGTAAAGGCCAGTCACAGGTGTGGACTCCTGAAGGGCAGCTGCTTTCATAATCACACAAAAGTTCAGCAACAACTGAGCCCCTGTGAAAACAGCAAACACTGAGGCAGGAAAAAAAAATGAAGGCAGGAGAGTGGCAGGTGCAGGCTGGGAGGGAAGGGGCCTGAGGGACACACAGGTATAGATGGTGGGGAGGGAGGCAGCAAAGGAGGTGATGCTGGGTCTAGGCCAAAAGGGACCATGATGGTGCCATCACCTCAGTGGGGTCTGCAGCCAGGCTCTATAGAGCTTGCCACTTGGCTGGAGACTGGCTAGAGGGCACTGGGGCCCAGGAGAAAATGCAGCTGCCCCTCGCTGTTGGGACTGGCCTAAACCCTGACTACTGGGCCCACGGTGGGGGATTGTAGACTCCTACCCTGGGTGAGGCAGGGTGGGGCAGATAGGCGGGTTTACCCCCCCACCAGGGGCTGTCAGGGAGGGGGCCCCCTACCCATAGGCCCAGCTCCCAAAGACAAGCAGCCACCTCCCCTGTTACAGATATGTCCAGGGCGCTGATGTGTGCGAGGAGCCCGGGAGGGGCTGGCTGGGGCACAGGGCAGCCAAGACTGCTGAGTCGGGAGATGACAGACTCCAAAGTTCTGGGTGCAGGAGAAGCAGGGTCCAGGCTCAGGCAGCCCCAGGCCAGTCTCCTCGCCACTACAAGGAAGCATCCATCCATCCCTGCAGCCATGACCCAGACTGAGGCTCTCCATGACCTGCCTGAGCCAGTAACAGTCACCTTCTGTCATCTGTGCCAACCCTAGCACTCAGGACCCCCACTTTTGGGGGTTTGGTGGGTCGGCTGGTACATACCTGCTGCAGGTGCTCCCACAGGTCCAAGTAGACGGTGTTGTTGTAGGAGAAGGTGTGCAGGTAGGACTGTGGGAGGAAAGATGGAGGTAAGTGCCAACCCAGGACCCGAGGAGAACCCTATGCCCTGGGACCAGCCAGGGTCGCCGCACTCACCGCCAGGCCCAACTTGAATAGGTCCTCAGTCAGGAAAGTAGACAGCATCCTGAGCACAGAGGCGCCCTACAAATGTGGGGGCATGCAGATGGTGAGGAGGCCGTGCCCTGCCAACTCTGCTGCCAGGAGTGACAGGGCACACCTCCCACCCTGGGCCCTTCACTGAGGCAGCACCTTGTTGTAGGTGATGGAGTCAAAGAGCTCGCTGATCTGGGCAGGCGTCATGACCTCGTCGGCCGGTGAGGACAGGGGGTGGGAGGAGGCCAGGGCATCCACAGCCATCACATAGTGCAGGTCGTTCAGCACTATGAGGTCCCTCTGCAAAATCCCCCCCAGCTGTCAGATTGGCCCAGCAGGGGCTGAGGGTGGCTCGGGGGTTCCTCCACCTGCCCACCCCCAGATCAACCAAGCTGGCTCACCAGATTCCAGGTGGGTTCAGCGTAGTCAGCACCCAGGTACTCCACATAGGAGGCAAAGCCCTCATTCAGCCACAGATCATTCCACCAGTCCACGGTCACCAGGTTGCCGAACCACTGTCAGAGAAAGACGTCAGCTGGCAAGCCCCAGTGGTGCCAGCATCACCCTTGGCTAAGCGCTTCCCCCTCCAGACCTAAGGGGCTTGGCTGGCATTGCTGGGACCCCTCTGCTGCCCTGCCCTTCACGTGACTCTAATTTCCTCTGCCTAACAACACAGGGTGAGGAAATACCTGGTGGGCCAGCTCATGAGCCACCACGGTGACCACCCGCTCCTTATTGCCGATGGAGGAGGACACGGGGTCATAGAGCAGGGCGTTCTCCCGGTAGGTCACCAGCCCCCAGTTCTCCATGGCGCCAGCATTGAAGTCAGGCAGGGCGATCTGGTCTGCAAGAGAGGAAGTGATGGCTTGTCTTCAGGAGGTGGCCTCCGAGTGAGGTGCCCTCACCTGGCTCCTCTTCAGGGCTCCCCACGCACCAGATTTGGGCAGCGGGTAGGGTGTGCTGTAGTGTTGAGCAAAGAATTCAAGGATGGGGCCAGTCACATTCAGCGCGTACTCGCCGTGGCCTTCATCAGTGGCAGCGGGTCTAGCCCAGATGCGGATCTGCAGGGTGGCAGGGAGGGGTTAAGTGTGTGGGAAAGGGAAAAGGCTGCCAAGAGCCCCATCCATGCTACTGAGAGGCTGGGGGACTTTGAGGGACTTTGGAGTCACAATTAGCTATGCTGTGGCTGGCACTCGAGGGGAAGACTGAGACTCAGGGAGCTTAGAGCTGCAGCCCAAACTTGCTCAGGGCTCGGTTTGGACCCTGACCAGCCAGGAAGCAGCTGGTGTGGGGCGAGAACCCAGGGACAGCCAAGGCCTGGAGAGCCAAGTATGTACCTGAACATTATTGGGTGTATAATTCTCTATGCTTGTGAATTCACTGACAATGTAGGCCAGCAGATATGTAGACATCCTGGGGGTGGTCTCGTATTCCGTGACGTTCCAGCTGGGGTCTCCAGGAAGTGGGGTGCTACCTGGGCACACATGACTGAGTGTTACTGCACTACATCCCTCCTACCGTCCAACCGTCTGTTCCCAGTCCCGGGCAGACCCCCTCACTTTTGGGAGGCATGTTGGAGAGGGCCGTGTGGTTTGCAGGGTGGATGAGTGTGATGTTGAACGTGGCCTTCATTGCTGGCTCATCAAAGCACGGGAAGGATTTCCGGGCGTCCGCAGCCTGCATCTGTGTGGTGGCCACCACCCTGTCCAAACCCACAGGGTTGGAGTAAGTCAGCAGGGGAAGGGGTGCCAGAAAGTGGTCCTGGCTGTATCCTGGTCCTCTCTGCCTTGGCAGGCAGGCAGCCTTGGCACAGCAGGCTAGCTGGCCACAGAGGAGACAGGTGCCCCTTTTGGAGTCAAAGTCCGGGTAGATCCTACCCTTGGACTGGCAGGGGAGTGTGGGCAAGTTTCTGTCCTGCCTGTGCAGGGGACACTTCTATTCTCTTCTCTCCAAGGGCCCTGACTCTGCCTTAGCACCCAAGCACCTCCCCGGTGGGCACAGCCAGCCCTCCACTCACTTTCTGATGTTGCCCTCTGTGTACTCGCTGCGGTAGAAGCCTGCCAAGTCGTCAGCCAGCTCGCCCTGGAACACAGTGTCCATCTCGTACTGGCTGCCCGCCGTCAGCGAGCCCTGCAGGTGCACCACTAGATACTCGGTGAGCTCCACCAGCTCCGTGCGGTCGATGGCAGGTGGCTGGGAGCCCCTGACGCCCCGCAGCACCACATGGTGGCCCTGAAAGGTGGTATAGTTGAGCTTCTTGCTGTGGATGATGATGACATTGGTGGCCTGCTGGCAGGTGAAGCGGACTGTGCTGTTGCCCGTGAAGATGTAGAGGTTCTGGTTGTTGGGGGTGAGGTAGGGCCGCAGGACCACGTTGTAGGAGTCAGGGATGAGCGTCCTGGGCAGGCGGTACTGGTTCCATGGCAGGCTCTGGTCCACGGTGGGAGATGGCGTGGTGGTAGGGCTTGTGGGAGCCACACTAGGGCTGCCAGCCGAGTTCTTGCTCTTCTCCTGGGCGTACACCACGGACAGGGCCACGATGGTGCACAGAGCAGCCACACCCAGGATGATGCCCAAGATGCCCAATGGCTTGGAAATGTAGAAGCCCTTGGCCATGGTGAGGCTGGGAGAGAGCCTGGGCAGCTGGGGCCAGTCAGGGACCAAAGCAGTGTGGAACCAGGCTTATATCCCCCAAGGGGAGGGGCCCCGCTGTCCTTCAATTGGATAAAAATTAACCGGGGCTCAGACAGGCAAAGGTCACTGCACTGGGCAAGGGCTGGTCCAGGTACAGTGCTGGGAGTGCGGCTCAGCTCGGCTTGGTGTGCCTGCTGGGGCAAACCAGTGTCAGGTTATTGGCTGCAGCAGGTGGCATCCCTCTGCCTGCCACCAACCTGGACAGGGTTGTGGGTGAGACATGCGTGGAGCAGGTCCATCTGGGGCAAACTGTCCTGGATGTGCTGGATGGCCACCCTCAGGGTGGATCCCTGGCAGGGTGCCAGGACTCCCAGGCCCTGCCTCTTTCACATTATTGCTGAGCAGGGAGTTTTTCCAGCAGTCTTCCATCTCCCATAACACCCTCCCTTCTTGCCAAAAGTCTTCAGCTAACACCAAAGGAAAGCCACCATGTGTGCAAATG